ATATTTTAAATAATTTTTTATATACTTAAAAAATATTTAATAAAATATATTTTAAATATTATAGTTTTTATAGGGTAAATAGGATAAATTGTTTTTGGAAAATAAAATTAGTCCAAAAGGTTGACTAGTAATAATGTAGATTTGTTTTTTTACATCTAGTACACACTAATTAGAAAAGGTTATCTATTGCAGAGCAATAGATTTTTGAGCTTATCAAATATAAATAATTCATCAGAATAAAAATTATTTTTGATATAGATACTTTATATTTGTAAAGCAAGAGTTAGTATTGCTTATCTTAATTAGAATGAAAGAGAAAGACATACCTATATTTATATACAATATTGATAAGACATTTAAAAAATCTTCAGATCGAATGAAGAGAAATAAGTATTTATTAAATATTCTATTTAGGCTAAATATAGAAATAAATCTTATGCTTGATAATAAACTTCAATACATGTTCAAAGAAAAAAAAGCAAGTAGTATATTAGAAATGATGACCTTGTATTAATAAGCAAGCATTCTGAACCAAAGTGGAAGTTAGTTAAAAATGCATTTCAGATCTTTGCAAATGCTTCAAAACCATATAGAGAAAATGTAACATTTAAAAGAATATCACCAGATAAGATTTTAGATATTACTAAATTCTCATCAGATCAAAGTACAATTGTCATATTCAAAGATCTATATACCAAATCTAAAAAAATTCAGGATTAAATCATTTCATATTTTATTAGTGGCCAGCATCAAAATATCTCACCTATATATGTAAATTAGAAATATATACAAACATTCAAAATAATTCATAAAAGTTTAAGCCATCTTGTATTATTTAATAATGGGGGAAGCTGCAAAATTGAAATTTTATAGTTTTTGATTTCACTAAACCAACTGATGATCCTTTCAGTATATACCTTGATTGAGATACTCCTTTGAAATTAAATGAATAGAATAAGATTTCAAATAATAAATATTTCTTCTCAATGTCTCCAAAACTATCACTAAATGATACTTGTGCTATTGTCAAATCTTGTGGTGAAATATGTCTTTCAACCAAATACAAAGATAATAAAACCCCATCAGTATGGTGCTGTTCTAAGAATCATACATGGAGTGTCCACTTTATAAAATTAAAAATTCTGAATTGTGGTGTGCATATTATGCAGGTATAGTAAAACTAACTCTTGAAAATATCAAAGAAATTGTATTATCTAAACATGGGAAATGTCTTTCAACTGAATATAAAAATAATCAATTGTTATTATTGTGGAAAATCATTTATAGCATGCATCTCTTGATAATGTGAAAAGTGATAAGTGATACCCATATTGCACAGATAATGCTGTCTTACTCTTGAAGATGTCAAGCAAATTGCACTTAGTCGAAATGGCAAAAGTCTTTCAACTGTATATAAAAATTCTGATATTCCAATGTCATGGAAATGTCATTAAGGTCATATTTGGAATAGCCCATTCCATAACATTAAATATTCTGGAACATGGTATTCATTTTGTGCAGGTAATATAAAATTAACTCTTGAGGACGTGAAACAAATTACATTATCTAGACATGGGGAATGTCTTTCAACTGAGTATTAAATATAAATGATACACTTACCTGGAGATGCCAATTCAATCATCAATGGCGAAATAATCTTAATCACATTAAAAATAGAGGACAGTGGTGTCCATTTTGTATTGGTCGATATCAGTCAATAGAGGATATGCGTAAACTTGCAAAAATAAAAAAATGGGAATTGTCTCTCAGATCGATACTATGATTCACAATCAAAATTAGAGTGGATTTGCAAAAATAATCATAGATGGGAAGCTATTCCCAATAGTATTCAACAAGGAAGTTGGTATCCATATTGCGCAGATAATATGAAATTAACTCTTGATGATGCGAAGCAAATTGCATTATCTAAACATGGGCAATGCCTTTCAACCGAGTATAAAAATAATCAATTTCCATTATCATGGTGTTTCAAAGAAGGCCATTTATGGCAAGCATCTCTTGGTAATGTGAAAAGTGGTACCTGGGGTCCATTTTGTTATAAATATAAATGTGAACAATTATGTCGAGAAATTGTCACAAAGTATTTAGAACAACCTCCTTCTAATATTCGTCAACCAGATTTCTTAAAAACACCTGATCATCTTCTTGGATTAGAACTAGATATTTATTATCCAGAATATGGATTTGTGATAGAAGTACAAGGTGAGCAACATGAAAAATATATTGAATTCTTTCACAGAGGAGATCCCAATAATTTTATCAAACAGCAAGCACGGGATCAACTCAAGAAAGAATTGTGTGAAGAAAACTGGATTGTCCTAAGATATGTTTGGTATTACGAAGACCCACATATAGTTATCCTGGAGCATCTTCGGGAATTGGGTCTTATTAAATAAAAATAAAACTTTAAATGTTTTTATATGTACACAATTTTTTAGTAGCATAATAAAACCACATGCGAGTTATTTTTGATATATTTTCATAATGACAATTACATGAATGCACATTGCTAAATAGATCCGATATTTTATGTTAGCTAGACTGATTTTAATAATTGTAGTTGGCTATAGAAACCAGTATGAATCCCTACTCTATCTTTTTCACATTACTAGAAATCCAAGATTCCAAAATATCTATGTTAACATCACCTGTTGCAACATCTATCGTAATTTTCTCGGTAGATTCATCATCCGCATCCAGATCGTAACCGTTTATAGCTAAAAACATCGAAATTGCAAGATGGCCAGCTCTCTTATTTCCATCCAAAAATGCATTATTTTTAATGATACTCTCCAAGGGCGGCAGCCATTTTAAACAATGATGGAATCGATTGAGCTTCTGAATAATAAAACATCCACTGTAGTCTATGTAAAGCGGATTCAAGCAAACCCATATCACGAATATACTGTTTCTGTCCATCGGTTTCCATCATTTCCTTATGCAATTCAAGAAAAACGCGAAAATCAACGTATTTTGGCACTTCATGGAATAATTTTTGGAATGATCCACCGTTATCTTCACTTGTCCCGCAGTCTTCTGTAGAGATTCCGATTTTTGCGGAGAATATATTTGCCTACTTCCCTTTGCAAATCTTGCGGAGGCGTACGTTCTGTAACAAATTATGTGCGCCAATAAGAATAAAACGAAGAATATTGGTGTGTAGGAATTAATGGTTAATTTAATGTAAGATTCCACACGACTCGTACCTAAGATCTCCCCCAACGTTTCTGTGTTTGAAGATGGACCAAATTCGGGAGGCAATAGTTGACGTCTATATCGTCCCGACAATCCTTTGTGCAATTATCAAAGTCATAAGTGGCTTATGTTAAGGAAAAACAGTATATAAACTTCAATACTTACTTCGGAAGAGAATACCCCATTTTGAAAGAAAGTCTGGGAGACGCATTTCGGAAGCAAAAAAAAATCAGATGGATATTATAATAACAGTAAGATCGTGTAACTTTCCCATACGCTTTATTATGATCCCAAAAAAGGATAAGCATTTGCGGAATCGAGATTTTAAACCGGTAGACGACGATCTCGTAATTAGACTCGGTTGGGACACCCCTTTGAATGAATAAGATATAACAATCAAATAATTATTTATTTTTTCGTTATTTATTAATGCAGAAATAAACTACTTCCTACTTGCCACTAAGATGCACGTATCTTTGAAATACTTAGTAAATCGCGAGCGAATTCAAAAAACGTAAAAATTTCCGGTGATTTTCACTTTTTTCAAAGCGTGGAACGGAAAATTTATGCCAAAATTTTCAAGGACGTTCGAATAACTCCGCAAATATCAATGCTATTGAGATAAAATACATATCTTTTTATAGCCACAACAAGGCCTTTCTTTCTACATTAGAAATATCCTAGTAGAAAATCGTTCTACGCTTTGTAATCGCGTGCGAAGTCGAAAAAATGTAAAAAATTGCGAAAATCCTTCGTTTGTGTTAATATTCTTATTTAAGTAATTTCTAATTCGATTTTTTAGTTATTCAAGTGACTTTTCAAATGACTTTTGCATAATTTTTAAATGGCCAGCTCATTTGCAATGACCCAAATGACATAGTCAATGTCATTTGCATCCCTGTACCTGGTGTCCATATTGTAAAAACATGCGAGAAAAACTTTGCCTTCAAAAAATCGCGGACCTGATTTCTTAAAAACATTCCTTGAATTCGAACTATTATCAATAAATATGGTTTCGCGATCGAAGTTCTAAAGTTCTTTAAGTTCTTTCATAGGGATTCGTAAAATTCAAGAAACTTTGTTTTATTAAGAGGTTCGGGTAAATTTACTCGATAAATAATATTTCTTCCAGAATCAAAAGATAAATTTATAGGTTGTTAAGTGTTAGATGAAAATAATTGATAAAAAATCAGAAAATTAAGAAAGTAAGAAGTATAATAGCAATATACCACTGTAGACTGAACATAATCGATTTAATGATTTATACAATATAATTTAATAACTCCTTGAAGAATGCATTCATATTTCTTTTGTTATGTTGGGAGTCTTCAGATCTGATAATACATGGCCATTTTTATTGCAAGAAGAAAAAACATTTCAATGAACTATGGTTCACTGCACTGAGGCATTTAAATAATAAAAATTAAGTAATAATAATAAAATTACAGTTTATCAGAAGTTTTTCCTTTTTCTCAATTTGACTTTTAACTCTTCACAAACCCTCATCGACTTAACACGATCTTTTAATGGACCCATCAATTCAATATTGTATTTTCGGTATAACATTGCTAAGGTAGCTTTTAATTCCATCATCGCTAAGTTTCTTCCCGGACCTGCAATTAGATAAATGATGATAAATTATCATGTGATAATGCATTCTTTTATAATTGAGAAATTTACTTACACTTTCTTAAAGTTCCACCAAACATATAAAGAAGATTTTTACTATCTGGATTATCTTTATCCATGAATCTATCTGGATTAAATACATCAGGATCTTTCCAATATGATTTG